CTGCTGGAACCTTTCTCCCTCACACAAAAAAAACAACAAAAAATAAAAAAACAACAACAACAAAAAAGAAAAAAAAAAAAAAAAAAAAACTAACAAAAAAAAAACCCCAAAAAATAAAACAAACCCAAAAAAACCCCAACCAAACAAAAAGTGACCACTATTAATAATGGAAAACCTAAAATCATTAAACAGATGTCTTACCCCGTGTTGTCTTACCTTGCCCTTTGAAATAGCTTTGTAGGCTGCCTTTATGATTAGGTATGACCAAAAACAGTGCAGAATTTGAAGAACTATAAGCAGCACATTGAAGACCCACAAGGCAGGAAAATTGCCCAGAGCTTCATATAGTTCAAACAATGTTGTATTTAATATCCTAAGAAAAAAGGGACAGAAACAGAATAACACTTTCCTTAAGCCAACAATCTCAAAGAGGTTATTTTTAAATCAAAATCACAAGTACTTCATTAGATGGGATCCACATGGACAGTTGGTTTTCAAAGTAACAGTGACTTGGACTGAATCACACAGGTGTCTCCAGAGAGAAACAACCTCAAAATGTCGCTTTCAATATTTAACTTGATTTGTAAACATTGCATACAGAAAACAAAGGTCCTCAGTGTGCATTTCTTCTCTTCATCTATACAGCTAGCAGGTGTTTGTTGACTCAAATAAGTCCTCCCCTGATTCATAACAAAAATTACTGGCCCCCATATTAGCCACTGTTTTGCACTAAATCTGATTTGCATACCACTTATATACAACCAAGAGTGAGGCTTAGGCAGCTACATCCAGGACAGGTGAACAATGGGAGAGTGAGGGATGGGAGACCTTATTGCAGCCTTTTGGTACTTTAAGGGGGCTTATAAAAACATGGAGACAAGCTTTTTAGTAGGGTCTGCTGAGCTAAAACAATGGCTAATGGTTTTAAGCTAAAAGAGGGTAGCTTGAGACTAGATCTAAAGAAGAGGATTTTTACAATGAGAGTGGTAAAACACTGGGACAGATTGCTCAGGGAGGTTGTAGACTCCTCATCCCTGCAAACATTCAAGGTCAGGTTGGACATGCCTCTAAGCAATCTGATCTAGATGAAGATGTCCCTGCTCATTGCAGGTGGGTTGGGCTAAATGACATTTAAAGATCCCTTGCAATCCAAATCATTCTATGACCCTAAGAAATTCAGGCAGGTCTACACATTTGAAACAAATTTTTGAAAATCAGCATTTCAGATGCAGGCAATAAACTGATGTTGCAATGAATTCTGAAGCTTTGTGACTACAGCACTAACTTTCTGCTCAAATCCTGTGCCACAGCAGGTGATTCAATCTATTTTAGCAAACAGCCTGAGAGCAGAGTGGAGAACAAACAATATAAACAGTGGCATTTAAAAAAAATAATGATCTAGGAATGGCTGTTAATTAGGGGGAGAAAAATAAGGCAATATAAGGATTTGTCAAACTTCATCCACTTTCCCTGCTGATGCAGAAATCAATTCAAAACTCCGCCGGTTTTCTGTTCCTTTCTCCTCGTTTTAAATTGCCATCCCCGCCAGTCAGTAGATGGCGCGTTCAGCCCGGCCAGCTCGGGGCACGTCCCGGGAAAGCGGCACCGGGACCCGACCGGCCCCAGGCAGCGCAGGTTTTGCTCTCAGCTTTTAATTAACAACCACATCTGCCACAGCCCTTTCCAGCAACATAAATCCAGTTCAAGTAGTACTAGTACGAAATATGTACAGACAACAAATCCGGAATACAACATTTAGTGGTAATGATACACACCCAATGTGTGTAACACCATCGATCAAAAATCAGCCAGTGATTTCTGATACACTGGACTTAATACTGTAGGGGTGTTTCATAGTACTTCTGCCTTTTTATTTTTGCCCTCTTACAGAAGTTGAATGCTTTATAACCTTTCTATACAGCTGTGTTTTAACACTGTCTTCTGTTTATGGTGTGAACACCAGAAAATGCTTTCCGGTTTGGAAAAACACCAACATAGTAATGCTTCTGTCAGGTAGAACTCTTCAGTCTCAGCTCTGTGCAATTTGTTCTGCCAGTGGTAGCTATATTTGTCAAAGTAACACCTCACTTTACAGTTCGAGGGGGCACTCTCATCATATCAAAACAGAGGTGGAGTCAGCACTGTTCAACTTCACCAGTGCTTACTGCAGTCCTAACCATTATATCAAATTCAAACTTGAAATCAGCAACTCCTGTACATAAAGTTACCATTGTTTACACTCAACTGTCTCTATGTCTAAAACATTACATGCCACAGAATTGTAAATGAAGCTTCTGCAGATTTCTGTTTATATTTTATTAACTGGGCCAAATTCATCTCTGGGGACTTCCACAGAAGTCAAGTAAAAAAAGCAGCATTAGAGATTAGTTAGTGCACTCTTGCAGAATTCAGGAAGAAAGCAAAGCCAAAAGAGTGCTTTTGATACTAAAAACAATCACATGTGCAAATTACTTGTATGTTGTGTATTAGGGAAATAAGCCTTAATAAAAAAGCAGATTTCTTTCTAATCTGTTATGTCTGGCAAATTAAGGACAGGACTGGAATTCTCCATTAAAGCTGCAAAAAGGATCTCATTAATTGCTCAGCAATGCTAAGAGGGTTCAGTGGTTTGATGTGCAGGCAAGGTGTTCATGTGGAGCTAAGGCTATGTCTAAGCACCTACAGAGCAGAAGCTGAATGAAAAATACACAAAAATACAGAAAAAAATTATGAAAACAAATACATTCTCAAAATAAAGAAATTATTTCATATTAAAAGTCCAAAATGGGGAAGAATTCCTAAGATTATCAGTCAGAATATACAGAGAAATTATACTTGTAGAGACTGAGGAAGAAAGGGAGGGAAGACAGGTTAGACCACTTTCCATCAATTTCACTCCTTCAAGTATTCAATGGAAGCATTTTAATCAACTACACAAATAATAGGGACTGGATATAGCAGCACAAAAATAGATTACATGGAGAAAAAAGCACCTATAAGATGTATATGCAAATAAATCTTAGATTCAAATATTCAGAAAAGCACTTAAATCTGTAAACACACTTGCTGGGACTTTCCAAAGCTCCCCAGTGAATAAATCCCAGTTTTTCTTAATTAATGGAAACTTTGATTCTTGGGTATCCGACTTGAAGCAGCTGGACTTAATCTCACAGGGGAAAATTACTTTAAGCTGCAAGTGCTCCTCAACCTTTCTGAAAACTTTTGTCAGCATTTCTCAGATCTTTGCAATTTGAAACTAAATGTTAGCTTCTGCTTTTGAAAATAATTTCTGGACTGTTTGTTTTCCGAGTCCCTGGAAGATTTTGATAGCTGAAGAACACAACACAATTTCATGGAAGATATTCTTCCCTCCTTAAATGCATCTCGAGGAGGGTGAATGTGCACATGGCTGTGTGAAGCACTCAGTTTAGCATCTTGAATTAAGCAGTATCGCTGATGAAAGCAAATAAAAATAAATTCACCACTTAAGATCCAATCTCTTCTTACAGAAATCTGTGCTATTTTTTCAGGAATGCTGCCACAATATCTGAGTCACTGGGAGAGATAATCCTGTACTTACTGTACTACCACTCTAATTGAATGCTCAGAATAAAATGAACACATTTTCAACAACTACTAAATAATCACCTGCAACACATCAACAGTAACACAGGTTTTTCCTCTAGTCTCTAGCTCTTTATCTAGACAGTGAAGCAGTACTTGGGACACTAGAGGTAACATATCCCCTCTGACTCATTAACATTACACCCCCCTCCCACCACTTTGTGAGCCCAAATCCAGGCTCTTGGGTATCAGCTACTAATCTTGGCAAGTTGATCCTTTGTCTTGCACCAAGGATGAAAGGAAAACCTGGAGATGGAGGGAGATAAAGAAAGAGAGGAATGGGTGGAAAAGTAAAATCCTTATCTGTATTGTCTGAGAACTGACAAAAATGTGCCGTGTTTGCTTCTGAAAGGATCCTGAGAGAAATGAAGAGGTGAAAAGGAGGATCATGTGGAAGGAGTAGGTATTCTTCCAGATAAGCAAGAACTTAGTTATAAACTCTGCAGAATGATGCATAGCAGGATGATGGGCACTATTATCACATCCAATGGGAGCAAAAGCTGTGCAGCTGAAATTAATGCTACTAGAGGTTGCCTTCCCTTCTGCAGCATGGTCCAGTAACCAACATATTCTGCTACAATGTGCTTATTAAAGTCACTTTGTTAACACAGCACACTAGATGGAAGTCTCAGATATGACCCAGGACAGCACAGTATGATACCACCTTGTCTAAATAATTCAGAATACATGTCTTTATTCCCATTATGTGTATATTAGACAGCAGTATTCTATATTGCACCATAACACCTGTACTGGGACACCTTTCAATACTGCATACATTACCAAGAAAATATGTAACTACATTTTTGTAATTATGTAGTTACATTAATTATCCCATTTAGTGCAAGTAACTCAACAGTACTCCTACCAGCAACACTTCAAAGTGTTTGCCCTTTCTGTAATTTTTTCTTTAAAAAACCAAACAATTGCACTTACTTACAATCTGCCCCCAAAACATAGTAGTTTATTCTTTATCATATGTGGTAAAAAGTGACTATGACCAAAGAATAAAAAGTCAGGTGTTCTAAATTGTGGATTTAGCTGTTATATTAACTTATGTGATCTAAGAAATTTTCAAATTTCTTTACACAGTTCATTTTTTGTTAAAGATGGGCACAAATTATTGGCACACCTTGTTGGCCACATAAAGATGCTGTGAGAATTATTAGCTTGTTTATAAAACACTGTGGACTACTTCCTTACCAGATGCCATAAACTGATAGGTAGAAAAAAATGTCACTGAGACTCACAGATAAATAAGGAGCAGTGGAGTAAATGTGAGAGTAAATGTATGTGCACATGTTGATCAGCCACAGGATGATAAATCAGATACCTTTCATCAGTGGTCAAGATTCATCTCTAGGATTTACACTGAAATCTATGATGATTGAAATCTAATAGGAGTTCATATTCCAGGCTGTCCTAGTTACTTTCAATGACAGTGCTACACAACAGACCTTACACACAGATGTTTCTGCATGGAACTTCAAATGAATTAAACAGCTTTTTACCTGAGAAGTGTATAGAATCATACACAAAACAGCCATCAATTGAGGAAACTGGTTTTTAGCGCTCCATGTCCTGGAGGCCTCAAGCTGCAGTGCAGCTAAATATTTCATTATAGCAAATCCAGTAGATAAAGGGCTATACTGCCAAGTTTTTCATCTGAGTTTCAGCTTGGCCAGCTGCTGTGTCTATATCACTGTTCTGCTTCTTGGTTCTTGCTAAGTGGGAGAACAAGCTTGTTTC